AAGCCAGAGAGGCAGGAAGCCTCCCGGAAGAGTCTAGTGCTACTAAGACCAAGGAAGAAGAATGCCTTAAGCAGAAGATGGTCATCACTGTCTGTCCTGCTGAGAAGACAAATTAGACAAAGACTGAGAAGGACTCCTGGCATTTATCACCAAGGAGGTGTTGTTCTTGGCAAGAGCAGTTTGACTTGGAGAGGTGGGAGGGGAGGCCAGATTGTGTGACGTGAGGATGTGGGAGGTGAGGAAATCGAGGGAGAGGGGCAGTGTTGCTGATCTTTAAAAAGTTTAGCTGTGGAGGGGAGGAGAGAGACGGGGAGTCACCAGGGGGAGAAGCCCAGGAAGGGGGAGGTGGGGGAAATCGGGAGGAAATACCAAGTTGTGCAAATCAGACTCGGAGGTTAGAGCCATCACAGGCAGAAGCAAATCGAATTGGCTGAGACAATCAAAAGAAATGAGTAGGGAGCCACCCAGCGCAGACGCAGCTCCAGTGCATTTTGCTGAGAGAAACCAGCAAGACTCAAGACTCCAGAGGCTACCTGTGACAGGATCCCATCTGCCTTACATTCTGGAAAAGGCAGAAATCGCAGGGGTGAAAGAAACAGATCGGTGGTGGCCGGGGGCTAGAGGTGAGGGGAGAGGTGGACTAGGGAGAGGCGGGGAAATTTGTGGGGTGGTGGAATGGGACGGTTCTCGATCCTAATTGTGTTGATGGTTACCTGGCTTGTCAAAACTCACAGAACTGCACACTGAAAGGGGTGTGTTTTACTGAATGTAAATTACAATTCAACTGAAAAAAAAAAAGTTGGCTGAGAAAGAGCATCTACCAAAGAGGGCGCTGGAAGCAATCATCTCACTAAGTGTGGGGACCTATCCTGGTCTCTGAGGAAGCAGGCTGAGTCAGGGGCAGAACAACCTCACCATCCTCTCCCAGTCCCAACATGACGTTCAACCCGACTTCACACGCAGAGCCCCCTCGTCTACTATACTGCAACTGACTTGGGGTTGCTTCACTGACAACTTAGGGTCTTAAGCTTAACTTCTTATCCTGCCTCCAATTTCCTCCCTCTGTGAGCCCTTCCTTCTGCGCAAAGGGTACCTTACTACATTGGATAGCTTGTCCTCTCCCAACTCTCTCTCCATCATTTACCTTCCACTCCCTTCACCACGCCTGCACTGACTTCTCTCTGCCCATCGAAGCCTAACTTCATCCTCATACTCTGCATCCAAGTTCAAGGGGTCCACGCCTCCATGAAATCCCCCAAGTCTGCTCAAATCACACAGCATTTTTCACATTCTTATTGGGACCCCCTATTCTCATTTCCAACAAAAACTTGTTCTTCCAATCAGATTATAAATTCCATTCAAAGCTGAGCCTTTATCTTACTTTTCTTTATATCCCCCAGGAGTGAATATAATGTCTAACTCTTGGCTAACACTCAGTTAATACTTAATGACTGAATAAAGGCCAATTAAAAAAAATTCCAGGGGAGCAGTGTACTCCAAAGTAAAGCAGGTCCAAAATATTTCTCAACTACAGATAACACAAGAAAATATGCTTTTGTTGGGGGGAGGGTATAGCTCAGTGGTAGAGTGCCTACCTACCATGCAAGAGGTCCTGGGTTCAATCCCTAGTACCTTAAATAAATTAAATAAATAAATAAATAAATAAACAAACAAACAAATCTAATTACCTCCAAAAATATGCTACTGTAAATATAATAATCAGGAAATACCTTCAGTGATTTTGCCTTGACCATAACTATTCCAAGACCATAGGTCATTTCGATCGATTTTCCTATTAATTTTCCTAAATGCACAGTACCAAAATTTCAGAATAAATACCACTTCACATTCAAAATCTGTTTTTTTAAATGACATTTTTTCTGACTAGTAAAATTGGAATAAAAAAACCTCTCTTATACACCCATTTTCTGAGAATCCTTTTCCAATATGAAGGGTGATCATTGTGATAGAGAGTAATTTTGAGATTTTAAGAGACATATGGAGGAATAACTAAGAGCACAGACTCTGAAACCAGGCTGCCTGGATCTGGTACCAGCTCTGACACTTGCTAGCATGTTCTCTCGGGCAAGGCACTTGACCTCTTGTGCCACACGGTTTTCCTCATCTCTAAAAAGGAGACAGTAAACAGTTTCTTCATCTTAGGGGTCCGTATGGATTAAATCACAAATACATATGGAGTAGTTCTTGGAACATCACCTGGCCCATGGTAAGTACTCTTAAGAACAGATGTTATTCGTAGTCATTCCAATGTCAACTTGCATCTGAATTTGAGTCTGATCTGAAACTGAGAACCAGTGATTGGTACCAGTCAGAAGTCAGACTTAACAACCCAAGATTTCCAGTCTGAGCTCAGACAAGTTCCTGACAAGCTCCTTGTCAAGACTCTCTTAAATTTTTCAACTTTTCACATCCTTTTCTACCTTCTGCTTGGTTTTTGCTGGTAACATAAAAAATATACACATGAAAATGAAAAGCAGCATGTGTTTTGGAAAGCATTGAGATCAAATCATGCGGTGATTTTCAATCTTTACTAGTATTGCTTTTCTTAATGGAGGGACTGGGAATTGAACCCGGGACCTCGTGCATGCTAAGCCTGCGCTCTACAAATGAGCTGTTTCCGTCCCCAAATCTGTACTGTTATCTAGGGCAGTTAGCCTCATCCAGTACTCCACAGCCTTATCTGGGTAAACTCTGGAGTCTCAGCCAATCTCCCAACAGATGCTGGGCTGGCAAAGTGGATGCCAAGCCTCCCAGGAAAGCTGGTTGCTGTCTGGAGGTGGAGGTTAGGGGGGTGAGTACAAACTTTGGTATCGGTGCAACCCCTTGAAACAAAGGTCTAGAGGAAATGAACCACAGCTCTCATTTTCCTGACATCTGTCCATACAGATAAACAGACCAACCCCACCCTTCCATTCTTCGGGTTTCTCATCGTCTTTTAGCTTTACCTTCTCACTGACGTCTGTAGCCTTCAAAACCACCTCTTCCATTATTAGCCTCCAGGCTTCTTCAACAAATTTCTCTCCTGCTTTCACATCTGTCGTGGGGCCGTTCAGTATGACCCCATTCACGAGAACAGCACCCTTCCTACTTGGACCCGTCTCCTGTTGAGCCGCACCTCCTGGAAGCACACAAAAGGCAAAGTGAGAGAACCTCAGCAGAGCACACAGCAAAACCCCAGCAGGAGATGGCACAGCGTCCCAGCTTCCAAAGGGTCGTCTTCTCGTAATACACTGGAGGCCTTGAAGCTGACAGCTTCTCATGGGGTCCCAGGACTTGACAGGGTTCAAGAAAGAGAGCTCCACCTCCTATTCCTGCAGGATCTTGTTTGGCATCAGGGAATGTGGGTGCAGGAGCTCAAGAAATGTAAATTCAGCCCATTTGACTCACTCACGCAACCATCTTTCAGACACAGGTACAGAAAGATCTTTGTACACACAAGCCCGGGTCTCTCATGCACGCACACTCTCCTATGACTCAAGGGTTACCATACGTTCCCTTTTAATAAGTCATCCCTGTGGAAGAAGCAGCGACAGCAACATGCCACTTCTCTCAGTTTTACATCGTGAGCTTGTGATTAAATGACCCTCTCCCTTGTCTCTGAAAGCCTCTCCGTAAATCCACTCGGCCATGTCCTACTGGAAGGCGGATATACAATGAGATCAGGAGCAGCCTGGCGGCTGGTGGAAACCCGTACTGAACACCTTTAGACATTTAAAACTTGCAATTTCGGCGCGGGCAGAAGGATGGCCCACGACATTATCAGGACTGCTCTGCCGGTCAGCGACTAAAGGTCAAAAGTCAGCGAGGCACTCTGTATCGGAAAATAAAGGTTACTGCCAACTCAAAATAGCCCCCAACAAAAATAATTCTGGCAATTCAATCCACATATTCAACCGATATCTGCCACCAGCTCTGATTCAACTGCATTCTCTTTTTCTAATCATCTTCTCTCCCCTCCTTAAAAGGTTCGTGTTTGGCGAGTATGGAAATTTACAGAAACAACTTTTAGAAGTGTTTTCCAGCACGGCAGCTAGGACAGTGTCTCACTCATACTTCATCGTTCTACCTTAAATATGCCGACAGTCTGTATGTCTTGCACATATTCCTTTATACTTACTGAGGGTTCTAACAGTATTAACATTTATCATGCCCTAGTGTCGGTCTTCTCCGCAAAGTTAAATGTTTCGGTAAAATTCTGTGGCTTCATAAACCCTGGTAAACTCAAATGGTGTCTGCGAAGGCAGATGCAAAGTTCACAGAGGTTCCCCAATTTGAGAAAGATGGACTCTGTAGCAAAGGACCCAAACTTTATCCTCACCCTGGAGGGTGAACCACCCAGAGCTGCTCGGGTGAATTCTAGCTCCATCCTTTGCTCGCACTTATCTTTCCCTTGAAAGGCGTATTTAACACGGTTTTGGGCCAAGTGTTGAAGCCCCAGACTGGAGCTTTTAGATGGAGAAGCTCCACACCTGAATGCACTTTCCTCCCCCCAAATTTTAGGTCCTAAAAATAAACTGGAATAGAGGGCAATTTCTCAGCGAACCCTGGTTATTATGTCAGTAGGCAGGGCTATTATTAAGTACACAGAAAAAGTTCAATTTTTTTTTAAATCTCATTAGTAGGATTTCAGGTTTTTATTGCCCGGGGAATAGCAGCCCCTTCACAGTCTTCTTAGAGTCTCTCTCTTTCTCTTTTACACACACACATGCACACACAAATGTCAGACACCCACTTGCAACCAGAATAGGAGTGAAATTGAAATTTAAATCATCTCTTTCTCCACAGCCATCAGTTACGGAAATCCCCATAATTCAAACAATTATATAGGAGAAAATACTATTTAAAAAAACTATAAAGCATTGAATATAGCATATGCCTCTTTCCTTAATAGAGAGGTTTTATTTCTATTACCAGATGTGATTGTGTGTCTCTTCCTCCCTGACATTTGCCCGTCTTGGAAAAGACCGTCTGGAGAATGCACAGTAGGGCAAGCTGTGATCCTCGGGGGATGCACGCCCGGGACTTCTGAGCTAACTGCTAGAGTTGACGGCAGTTAATAAAACCATGCGATGACCCCTTCCTTATTGCAACAGACTGAAAGTCAAAGCCCTAATAATGACCGTTAAGGCTTTAAAGGAGCCCCTTTCCCCATTAACTCTTGGACCTCAAACCTCATCTCTTATTAGTGTCCTCCTAGCTCAGCAAGGGCCACCCACTTTGGCCTCAGCACTATCCTGCGGCTCTTTCCTTAAACACCGGCTTCTCAGCGAGGGGTCCCTAATGACCCTGTTAAACCCTGCACCCACTTCTCTCCCCCACCTTCTGTCTCTGCTTTATTTGACTGAAGGGCAGTGACCACCATGCGACATACAGCACAGACTTACTGATTCACTTGTTGAAACAGGTCTCTCCAATAGAGGTTCAGCTCTACAGAGACGTGAGCTTGTGTCTGCTCCACGACACCCAAGAACTGCCTGGAAGTTTGTAGGCATTTGATAAACATTTGTTGGCTTTTAAATAAAAGAAGCCCTTCCTGGTTCCCTCAACCACTCAGTGATGCTGTCCCCGTCTCTGAGATGTCATCACAGGCCACCTGACCTGACCGTGCAGGAGACAAGTTTGGGAGGGAAAGGACGGGCCTGGGACACAGTTCATGGGCTAGAGAAGGGACAGTAGGAGCTCCAAGAAGAAACTGGGGAACAGGGCCAGCTGGGAAAACTGACTTTGAGGCCTGGATTATCAAAGGACACCATGGATGAGGGGCTACACTCTCCTCCCCACGCCATTCTTTTCACGGTGGCCACTCTCTCTGTCCCCTCCTGTCCTTTTCCATAGTCATGTGACTTCTGAAAGTCAGTCCATCCACAAGTCTCACTGCAGGAACCACACTTCAAATGTGGAAGCCAGTTAGTTGGTCCATAAACACTCTGACTTCTGAATTTCCACCAATTCCTCAACCCCGTACTTTCCAAACCCGGTTATAAACCCAATTTCTGTTTTGTTCAAAGAGATGCATAGCTCTGCCTTGCTTACAAACAAATCCAGCTTCAAATGCCCTTTCAGACGTTGAGCAGTGGCCTCTTTCACTGACATAGGATTAAATGAATTAATGAACTCTAAAGTGGCTGGCGAGTTATCCCCTGTGGAAGAGTGGGAAGAGGGGGCCACAGTGTAAGGGATGGCCCCGGCGAAGGTTCAGGACACAAGACGGTGGTCATGCGGTTCCACCCACACTGGATGGGCAGCCGTCCAGACCTCCCACCTTGTCCCTTTCCACCTTACACTGTGGTTGTGTCGAGGCTTTATTTCTTGCAACAGATTATAAATGCCCACAGAAAGGATCCATGTTTCAATGTTCGGGACATCCCAGAAAACATTTCCACTGTTGCACCCAACAACTCTTTGAAGATGAACTGGCTGACTGTGTAGTTATCTCGGAGAGTCGTCTTATCCCACCCTTTCATACAATCCAAAAATCCTCTCTACAGCCCAGTGGCCCAGACATCAGGAGAGCTGAGTTCTCATCTCAGCTGGTCACTCTCAGGGTCTCTGATCCTGGAATAACCCATCGTCTCTGTGCCTCAGTTTCCTGATCATAAAGCAGGAGATGATCTCAGGAAAGTCCTGCATGTTTGTCTGTTTCAGTACTGATAGATACGATATATTTCAGGACTGACAGCTGTATCTAATATCTATCATTTACTAGATTTACTGTTTCTGTATCTAACTATATCTATTTACCATTTGCTAGATATACATATACTAGTACTGAAGTTCACTAACATGCCGGTGGGTATGGGAACCACTGCTCTGGTTGACCTCTAAGATCCTTCCAAAATCTAACATCTTCCGTTGTCTGGCTTCTCTCTCATCCTTGAATAATTACGCATTCATTTCAACAAACATGTATGAGTCACCTTCCATGTGCCACACACCAGGCTGGGGGCTAAAGACGGGAACTGAATCATCTCCTACAGGTGCTCAAAGTCTCTTTGGGGAGTTAAGTGCTGAAAATTTACAAGAGTACAAGACACGTACAGAGTGCTTACTGGGGGCCAGGCTCTGCTCTACAAACTTTACAGACTTGACAAATTTAATTGTTACAAAAATTTCCAGTTAGTTACTCAGTTTTATAGTTGAAAAAGCTGAGACACAGAGGATTTAATTAGCTTGGCCAAGGTCACAGATCTGGTAAGTAGCGAAACGGGGGTAAATAATGCATTGAAGTTCTATGAGGCACCAACAAGATTCTGCTTGATGGGCAGCTTTGCTATTCAAAGCAGCATTAGGGAGTTAATAGTGACAGCAAGATGAATAGACTCGGGTAACTGGGAGCCTCAGAACACAACAGAAGGTAGTGGGTGTCGAGCCTTGTGATCAGGACACCACCAGAATGTTTTGAATGTGAACAATGTAGACATTCAGGGTTAAGGCTTAGGGTTAAAGAAAAAGTTCAGGTATCAGAGAAGACTTCTGAATTAGAAGACTTGCTTTCTCTTTAAATATCTGCAGTAATAAATGATAAAAAATAATTTTATAAAACCTCATCACTTCTTTAGGTGGCAACTCCACTGACAGACAGCTGGAATGCACATTCCAGTGACTCCGAATGTGCATTTGTGTCACTTCTTAGGCTTTTACAGTAGATGGGTATATCGGACCAAACATGTGAAGACCTTTATCAGTTCTCACGTAAATCTCTTATTTTGCCAGTTAAAACTGTCTTCCATGTCTTTCATGGATCTGATGGTCCCTGGTAGTTAGTCCTGCTCAGTTTATTTTCATCTGATAAATGAGGCATAGCACAGGTGTGGTCTCACCAGGTCTAAATATAGTGACTTTGTATTTCCCATTCTCTGGTCACCATGATGCCATTAATAAGGCTTCCATTAGCACCCCGGTTGATTTCAAAGCTTAAGCTTGGAAACCAGGTGGATTCTGGCCCCAGTTCTAACTGTGCAGCTGTGATCTTACCCATGTTACTGAACCTCCATGTGGTCCAGATTTCTTATCCAGCCAAGTGGAGAGAACAGCCTTGCCTACTGCGCACTGAGTCACTGGAAGGATTGAATGTGGCAGTGCCTGGAGCTCCAGAGCCCAGTGCCAGAGCAGAGCAAA